TTTTTTTTGTTAGTTAATGATGGAGCTACAAAGTCTTTACCACAATACTCAGGATTGAGACAAGCAATGAGGGAAATAATAAGACTAGATGGATGGAAGGGGCTGTACAGAGGGGTTACCCCGAATGTTCTAGGATCTGGTAGCTCTTGGGGGTGTTATTTTTTCTTGTAAGTCCTCAAAACATGAATTATTATTCTTTTAATTCTACCCATTCGTTAATAAATGCTAGATTTTCAGCAGCAATCGTCTCTTTAATGCACTCTCGACTATTTATTTGCAGTTACAATAGTATAAAAACATGGATACAAGGTGGGGATGCAAAAACACCACTGGGTCCATATCTGCACATGTTTGCTGCGGCTGAAGCTGGCGTTTTAACGCTCATAATAACCAATCCAATTTGGGTGGTTAAAACGCGTTTATGTTTGCAATACAAGACTGACCTAACACTGTCAGAGTCTAAGAGATACTCTGGAATGATTGACGCGATTACGAAGATTTACAGAACTGAGGGAGTCAGGGGATTGTACAAAGTACGATGAGAGAGAACGAGAAAAATATTTATTTCCTATGGAAAATTATTGGGGTTTGTCCGGAGAGTGTTTGTAATAATTTTCGTATCTTCAGGGTTTCGTTCCTGGCATGTTTGGAGTATCACATGGAGCTATCCAATTCATGTTGTACGAAGAGATGAAGGCCGATTATAACGTGTACAGGAAAATGGCGATTGATACTAAATTGGTGGGTAGTCACTGGAAATTTATCAATTCATTCACTCGAATGAAAAACCTGAAAAACTTGACGACTTCATTCATACACAGGGCATATCGAGAGAAATGAGTGATCAGTAATTGGAAATTTTTCTATTTTAGGGGAACATGGAGTACCTCACATTTGCAGCGATATCAAAATTAATAGCTGCTTTCTTAACATACCCCTACCAAGTTGTCAGAGCACGTGTCCAAGACCATCATCATGATTACAAAGGGACATGGGATTGTGTACAAGTCACATGGAGGTCAGAAGGCTTACGGGGTTTTTACAAAGGCTTATCGCCGTATCTTGTGCACGTCACACCAAACATTTGTCTCGTTTTAATAATTCATGAGCAGATCACTGGTCGAGTTTAATTCAAGCTCGAAATCATGCCATAGAATCGTTTATTTTATTTGTATGAAGTAATTTTCATGCGGGGATGAGGACGTAGAAATAGAAATCAATGACAGAAGAATCCAATTCTTCTGTTATAAATTTTCAGTCGTAAATTTCTTAATTCTCCTTTTGTTTTTTAAGGTATTATCCATTTTGGCTTAATATACACACCTGAGAAATTTAACTGATAATTATTAGTGTATCTCCTATGAAAAGAGGAAAAAATTAAGAGAATAATTGGTTCCGGATGGATGGAGGGACGAGTGAGTTGGCATAATCGTATGAAACGATTCATTTAAAAAGTAGATAACGTATTCCATTCTTCAGCAGTACACTCGTGACGATAGATCTATAGTGACAACTTATTTCGGTAATGGATTAATTGAAAACTTTAAAAATCCAACGACCATTCAACGTCTTGTTAACTATTAGATTCTGTCCTCACAAACATTGTAAATATTAGAAAAAATTTATTTATCTCACTATCATTCTTATATAGCTGTAAATAACTCTTCCCCTTCATATTTAATGATTACGAAGAATTAAAAAGTGAGCACAAATTTCATTGGTCAGACCCTGTTATTTTTCTCCAATGCAAACAGTTACTTAAGACTTCTCAATTCTCAATAACGATTAATTGAAGTTTTTTTTATAAAGCATCAGGTGAAAAGAGAGCACGAGTGACTGCAGAATATTCTGAATCAATGAAAACAATATAATTTTTGTCATGTACACATTATTAATTTGTGGCGGGTCCACTTGAAGTTGAATAAAAACGAGAAAATACGGTTTTAAAATTGGATGAATGCCTGAGTGAATGCGTACCGTGGAGACTATCATTAAATCACCAGCAGTACGATTTTTGGCAGATTGTTTCGCCAAATAAATTATTTCATGATTCGAATATAATTTCAATTAAATTTCGGCTGTCTTACATACTAATCCATGTGGTCTCAATAATTGTTAACTTTACCTTTGCCTTTAATTAACGGACGCATCGATTCATTAATGAGTACGTGTGAGAGGTCATGTTCACATGACCAATATCCATGTGAGAATTAATGTAAGATGTTGTGTGAAACAGCCTGTAGTTTCGTCCGTCAAGAATCGTACGCGGGTTTTTAATTTGCCGTAGAAACATTTAAAAGAAATTGAATTAAAAAAAAAA